ACACTCCTTTAAGATGTCACTATAAAACGTATATCTCAAAATTTCGCCTAACCCCCTTCCGCCCCCACAAAGGACGAAAATCTGTTGCATCCACAATATTGCAGATTCGAGAAAACTAAAAACGCAGAATCATAGATAATGACCATATCTATCAGATTGCTGAGTCTGGATCAGATCAGATCATTTTTATAGCCAAAAGGAACAAATCAATTTCCACTGGCTACGCAGCGCCCGACGTCACGCTCAGACTGATTATCTGTCTCTCTCGCACGCACTCTTTGTCGTGTCGTTTAAAATTAGCGGCGTCTGCCGGAGGTCCGCAGCAACTCACAACGTTCCCCCTCCTTTTGTTTCTGACTAACACAGCTTCTAAATCTTCCTAGGAAAAGAAAGGATTTTCGTTATCCTTGGTTGAGTACATTTCTTCGTCTACATCTTTTGCTTCAGAGGTTATTTGTTCGTTAAGGAAATCCAGGTATGGCCCAGCTTTATTTCTTACATTTCTGGGGTGTCCTCTTGACAGTTTTTTAGATTTCTGAGGAATCTCCAGGATTCTCTTGTATTGCAATTTACATTTATCTCTGTTAACTTCCTGGCATAGCTTGTTCTCTTGGCAATTTTAACAGCTTTTTTCCATTTAACCCTGAAGTTAACAGCAGAACAATAATTTTGAAAAGAGGGTTCTGAAACTGCCTTCTTCTACGACTCTGCAAACTCCCTGAATAATTTGGATACATTTTCGTCCCACCATAATTATGGACATTTGTTTTTTTTTTTATTTCATAAGTAGCGGCTTTAATTTCCTGTTGGATGTTCTTTCCAAAACTATCCATATCTTTGTTAGCCTCAAACTGGATTAGCTTTTTAAGTAGCCTGTTTTTGGCAAGGAAAGTTTTGAGTTTGTATTGATATCCTGCTGTTTCAAAGGTTATTGAGTGATGGTGGCTGCCTCATAAGAAAAAATTTTCGCATTTCCATTTTTCTATATGAGCTCAGTCACGTCCAGGGGTCAATCCACAAGAAATTTGTAGAAATAGATGGAACCTCAAGGGCGGCGTCGGAGGCGGCCTATCGTAGAGAGGTGGATCGGGGCTAGAGTGGGCGTCGCTCGTCGTGTATACGGAACGGCGTGCGTGGACTCGGGGTGGGGTAGCGTCGGTGCCTCGGCTAGTTGGAATGAACTTACGCAATTGGGTGTTACTCTGATAATTTGACACTTTATTATAAATCTTAGCACTTTAAATTAACTCATTTTGATTGGTCGCCGGTGTTTCCCGTAGGTTCCTGGTACAACGTCCGTACTCCGAACCAAATTTCTGCGCAAGTCCCTTCTTGGTTCTCGTCGTCGTCTTTTTAAAGGCCCGTATTGCTGGGTCCGCGGGTTTGAAAGTGCACTTCCGCGTCGTGGTGCACTTCGCCGTTCTTGGTGACCGTCGCAGACTATCGCGGTGTCATCTTTCCGCAGTTGATGAACCCGGAAGACCGCACTTGGCCGATGGCTTGGCCTGGAGTGGGGAAAGTCTCCGTGACCTGATGTCTTTAGTCAGCGTTATGGAGTTGGCGCGAGTTGATCGGTGGCTGCGTGCGCAGAGGGGGCGTTGGTTGCGGGGTGTGCTCATTATAAGTCGGGGGACGGATTGTATCGAAACCTTTTTGGTTTGTTACAATGAATGCCCTTTGTGAACGTTAAATCGAGCACAGACCCTGATGTTGAGTCGATGTGTTTTTAGAATGTGAGACTGTGGTCATTTGCTAGCCAGCGTTTGACATAGCTTGCATGAGAAAAGTTCCCTTTCCACTGTTGCTTCTGTCTCCAAAAAAGGGATGTCTTGGGTTAAAATCGCCTGCAATTATGACTTTTCCGAATGCGTCTAAATATTCAAGGAGATTGTCAATTGCTTGTTTGAAGGATGCAAGAGACAACAAAGGTTCAAAATATACTGAGGGGATAAAAAACTTTTCTTTATTGTTGATGGTACTTGCTATAATTATGTCTTGCTCTGTCTCATATATCAGTCTTTGAACTCTTAAGTCTTTTTTATAGGCAATCGCCACTCCTCCATAACCGTGCTCTCCTCTCCGTTTTGTAACGTGTCACGCACGTCTGTGTATATAAATCCTACCATGCTAGCTGTTATTCAGCGAAGGGAAGCACACGCTTTGGGTTTCCGGCCTCTGCTCGTTGGCTATTGGAGTAATGTTCTTGCCCCCCTCCTGCTGGTGGCCTATACGCATTATACCGCGAATGAAGTAGCGTGTCACGACGAAAATGCTTAACCGGGAGACACTGTTTATCCCTGAATAGAATTGTGGATGTGTGCTGGAAAGGTATCTCAGCTCCGCCTCTGGTGTTGTCGAGGTCGTGTCGCCCACCCTACCATGGCCATTCCAAACCGTTCGATTTAATGACGGAATGGCCCCTTTGTCCTGGGCATCCTACATGGGGAATTTGCCAGCGAAAGCAAAGCGGTAGATTAATACATTATAAAGTTTATTCACTTACTGGCTAAAACAATAACATTACCCGCAAATACCATAATATAATCCCCCGCATTAAAAAAATAGCTAAATGAAATATATGTATAAAATCCCTACAAATACTTGGCTATGTGTCATACAAATGATATACTAAACAAGTCCGAAATGGACAAACTAACTTGCTTGCTGACTCCGTAATGTTACGAAACCATTTCGAGTGGGCACTTCTTCCTCTCACTCACCGACCGGCCCTAGTTCCCTTGTTTCAAGTTGTAATTTATTAATAACAGAATTTAAGTCCACTCATACCTTTTCTCCAGTTTATGGCTCCATCGGCGAAAGCGCTTTCCTCGATGAATACCTAAAGCTGCTGTGGTGGAAAAACACTTAAATGGGCACAAGGTTGGGGGATATCATATTTGCAGATCGGCGAGAGTCACTATAAGCCACTACCGGAATCAAATCAAATTCTCTCCTAATTAACTCCGCACAAAAATCATACTTAATAACACATTTACAAACGCGAATACAATTACTCCGTCAATCCGTTGCTTCCTCTTTTTTTCTATTCTCTTTCTCCCGACTGTTATCTATGTTTCCTTTCCACCTCCTGGGCGAAAGGGAACAGCACAAATTTTTTCCCCTGCTTCTGCAGGTGAAAGGTACGCGAAAGCAAAGAAAAGGCTAAACGGCCAATCTCCGACGGTGCTAGATCGACACTTTCTCTCCGCCGATCTGCTCGCGACCAAGGGACGGGCCCTCCTTATCTGCCGCGTCGCGCTCGACTACTAAAGTGCCGACGCCAACGCCTCGGGAAGCTAGCCGCTTGGGGGGACCGAGCGCTCCCCAAATGTCTTCTCCCTCTGCTTCCACGCTCGCTTCTCCGATGGCTGAGCGCTTTCCAGACAACCCCAAAGGTTTAAACGCCACTTTGTTAGGCTTGCGGCTGCTGTTGTTTGCTGGCTGGCTTCCTTGGACGATCGAATCCGCACTGATTAACTCGATTTACTAAGCGCCAAGACTACAAATGGGACAACTCTTTGATATTTTCCTTTAGCCCTTCTCTTCTTTTCCCGCAGCACTTACCCCAATTGGACTCAGCGCTATACGGCTTCTGACGACTGAATACGACGCCCACTCGCCCTCAACAAAGAAACTCGCAGTCGAATATTGGATTTAGATATTTAGATTTCCTAGAGTTTTTCTTTCACTAAATTCTTTCTTTTTCCTTTTCGTCGGACCGATGCGCAACCGACTCAATTGACTTTCACGAGGGAATAGCGACGCCAACGTTCTGGCGGCAAATCCTCTAACAGGTCCCTGGATGCATTTTCAACAGAGATAGCCTGACGTTTTGAGCTGTTACCGTCTTTTTGGTTTTCCCTTGACCCATCGTTCGCCTGCCACTCTGAGCACTAGCCACAAAAAAACTGAGCATTTTCTGCTACAAGCGCTACAGCTCCTAATATGGCGTTTTATGTCTTTTAGACTAGATTGGTTTTAAGCCAAACGCAGTGAGAACATCTTCGCATGTGTTAGTAAACACACATTTACATATTAATATCTATGTATTTAAATAAATCAAACAAATAACAGCTTTTATTTTATAGCCCACGCCCAAGTGTCCCGCACCACCACCCACCCTGCCCATTTTGTATTTATTTTGATTCGGTAAGGTCAGTCCATCAATAAGCTGAAGACTCAAACGAAAACCAAACTCAAATTTTAGTTCTAGCGGCCAGCAAAACAATAATACACACAAAAAGTACTAACACATGCAGATGATCTCTCTGAGTTTGGCTCATGATGACGCGGCGGTAGCCGAACGCCAGACCCCCATGGGACGGAATATCTGTGTTCAACGTGCGACATGTTCGTTCTATGAACTGGTACATCTATAGACTGTATGGTTAGTGATACGACTATACTCACATCGAAATCTGGACCTTTCCAACAACTGTGTTCGATCTGCATCTGCTTTATCCATTTCAGGAATCCCGCTACTATTTGCTTGTATAGTGATCGATGGTTCTATCGATAGTGTCTATGTGCATGGTAGAACAGTTTAAATTAGAGGGAACACCTCGAATTTAGTGCAATTATGGCTTTAAAAATTAATTATAAATTCTGAACTCGAACTATACAAAATATGCTTGTACATTGGAGCTAAGTGTGTACCTTACTCGTGACCTTCTTCAACGTCAAAACAGAAAACTGTTTGAATTCTAAGCTTGTGTCTGTATATGTTGCTGTCATCACTGTAATTAAAAAAAGAAGAATACGCTAAATAAAATGAATTATTAATTAGGAACATTTTATGTATATGAATACGTCATTGTGGAAAACTGTGAATGTACCAAAATGCTTACATGTAAGGTTTTTTAGAGGAAACATTCTTCATATATATGTATGTACATACAAACGGAGTTCATATTAAACAAACACATATATAAGCAGTAAGAGAAAAAAACCAATTAAACAAACACGTATATAAAAAAAAACAATTAAACGTTAAGTGGTTGTTCTAAATGCAAAAAATGGATCTATTGTGTTCGGAAAGTCTTGTATGTGATTCAGATTTGTCATTGTATCGCATTAACAAACAAACGCTTGCTGCGCCCAAAATTAGAACTGATCTCGCCTCGATATGCCCCTCTATTACTTCTACTGGTGCTGGTAACGACGCAATCGCAGTTTCAAGTCAACCCAACGTCTCGCCTAATTCCGTCGTATGCAAAAGGAGTGAAATTGTTTATATATATACAGCAGATTCATTAATCACACAAAACCAATCACTCCAACTTCAAGAACAAGGTATTAAGGAAAGATTTACTCGCAGCTGCAGCAAGGAGCCTTCGGCTCTTCGACCTCAAGAGTGGCAGACTAAATCCTACTCACGCGGTACAGATCACGTCAATACGGCTATTGGAGATCCTACTTTTAAATCAGATCGATGTCTGGAAAATGTGTTGAAAACTGAGGAAAAGCACCAAAATATAGTCGATACATATTTTATAACTGTGCAAAGAGATATAACTCCGGCAATGCGTAAAATTGTCGCTGAGTGGATGATGGAAGTGAGTAATCTAGTGACCAGACGCCGTTAAGAAATTCAAACGCTATACATGATTTATTTCCTACTTTAAGTTTTATAGTCTTCATACAAGTAAAATGAGTATGTTGAGCTGGTACTCAACATTTATCGAGTGTAATCGCCTAGACCTCGGAAGCTAATATACGTACTAAAAATATATACTATCAAACCCCGGTAAATGAGCAATGTCTGCATGTATGTCCCTTTATTATACCCAGTACTTAATCATTGTTTCAAACTATAGACTTGACAATATCAATACATGTTACTTATTGTATGAAATGGCGGGACTAAAACTAATAGCCAGAAACCTTTATTTGACAGAAAAATGTTGGGCTTTGTGAATTTACTGGCGGAGTCAACTCGTTGAGCTTGAAATCTGAATATGTTTACATAATTTCCACGCTTTTTAGATTGACCCCATTTAAATTCAGTACATATGTAGCTTTGACCAAGCATAATAGGGCTCAAACCATGAAATATTAAAGGATGAACCAAAGCACAAACTAAATGCTTACACTTTAGCTATATTAGATTGATCTTGAAAATTTTGGATTCAAAAGAGAATAACACCGGAACAATGCTTGTTTATTGGTCCATATCATTCGCGAAATCCAAATTGTCGTATTGGAATTGTAGATTTCCCCCATTGTTGAGGATAATTGCTCCATTTCATCATTCTGTTGAATATTATGGTGAGAAAGTATTCTACACAGCTCGGCAATTCTATGATCATTTTCGGTCAGATCCCTGGTCCTTAATGACACTTGTATCTTCCCCTGCTTGGAATATGTGGTATCTTGTTGGTTAGTGAAAGCACAAAGCTAGTTGCTGGATGTGACTTGAAGACATTAACTAAATGGACAGAAAATGTATTTGCCTTCTATTTATTGCTGCGAGCCTTCTCCTGTTCGTGTATGTAACGGTGATTCACTCTCATTTAGTGGACATACGACTCATTTAGCTTTCCGCACTGGAAATCGTTGGCTGTTTGGGGAGAGTTGCAAAAAAATATTTTGTATTTGAGCTTGGTTTCTATCATCTTCCATTTCTTTGCGTAGTAGATGGTTGGTTATTTTTAACCGCTCCTTCGAGGCATCACAGCTTCGGCTTGCCACTCTCGCCGAAGTTTTTTCTTATTGCATGGCAGCTCTTCAATATGCCTGGGAACACAACTGCTGTTGTGAAGTTTATTAGCTGTTACTATTGGAGTGGAAGGTTTTGGAGCCAGTGACATTACAGGCCCTAATGCTTCAACTGAGCTATCTATGTCATCTTTACAGTAAATAATTTTGCAGCCACTTCTTTATTTCGTGTATTTGATCCAAAGTGTGAAATTGTTGCACACCTCTGTAACATCAAATTTAATCAAGTCAGGTTGCTTCTTCAGATCTGTGTAGGCCTAAGCTAAGCCTAAGCTTATTGGCCTAAGCTTGGCATTGTAGTCACCAGCTGCAATAAAGATGTCACCTAATAGGTCGAAGAATTTTACCAATTCTGCTTTGGAAACTGCGGCTAGGTTTAAGTAACCGCTTTGAGTTTTGATATGAATTGATGTTGCCTGTTAATAAGTTGTAGAAAATATTGGCAACTGATAGTGCCTGATAGGACGTCTGATATAATTCTGCTTTGGAAACTGCGGCTAGGTTTAAGTAACCGCTTTGAGTTTTGATATGAATTGATGTTGCCTGTTAATAAGTTGTAGAAAATATTGGCAACTGATAGTGCCTGATAGGACGTCTGATATGAATTCCAATACCCACATAAGCCTGGAAGTGGTAGCCTTTGAGATGAACTTAATTTTTGAGCATGACGCCAATGTCATGTCGATCGACGAACTGCAAGAGCTCGCATTAGAAGAACCATTTAAGCAGATTTCTGTTTGATTAGAAGCTCAAGGAGAAGATTTTAATTGCGCAAAAGTTCCTCCATCGTTTATTGGATTGCTGCCATTGTATTTGTTATATGTCGTTACCAGCATTGATTCAATTCCACTAGGCAATCGGAATGGATTCGCAGGGGTATATTGGGTAGTCATTTCTAGCCACTGTTGCGATGCCTGAAATTTCATTAGTCCGGCAGTGGTTTTTTGAAGACTGAGGTGTACGACTCGTTGGTGTAACTAAGCGCCTTAGGAAAAGAAACTCCTGGGGTTGTAGTTGATGTTGCATATGACAAGTTTCGTCGGATTGTTGGCTTAGGCGATTTTGTAAACTCTTTATAGACAGGCCAACCTCGATAGTTAGCAGTATGGTTACCCCCACAGTTGCTACATTTTTTGGCAGACGGCATATTTATGGGGCAAAACTCTGTGCTCAGCAGGCACCGGAGACTGCACGTTGGGTGCAATCAGTTTTCGTGTGTCCATATTCCTGGTAAGTTACTGTTCTACCTTCAACATTGCATGGGACGGGATTTTGTTTGTGCGGTTCCTCAACGGTGATTCAGTAGATATTGTAATTTGAGCTTCGCTTTTACTTATAGACATACTTTCAGGTGTCAGTTCTAACTTGAACATGGGATTTATTTATTTATTTGGCTTTCCTAGTGCTACAAGCAAGGGGCTTATAATTAGAGCACTAGTCACTAAACGTCACATTGGTTTTGGTTAAGTCAAACTAAACTAATATGATTATATTATCGTTCATTCTAATTCAGTTAAATATGTAAATATGTTACAGTAGTTATTATTAATTAAAGGTGATATTGTCTATTATTTTATTTTATTTAAATTTGGTTTCGAGGTGTTCAGTTTCTTAATCTACTATGCATAATGGAAAGAATGGAGATTTATATTTATTATGTTCAAAGCCACTTTCATTTCAAAGCCCTTATCTTTAAGTCCAGCAATTATCTCATTGACTGAAGCTGTTGATTCGATTCCTTTGACACTTATAATTAAGTATTTATTTTTTTCATTGTCGAGGTATTTGGCCACTATCTTGTTCTCCTTTTTATAGACGTGACATAAAATTTGTTTTCTCAAATTGTACCAGTTAATTTTTAAACCAATTCAGTAAAATTTACCTAACTTAGGTGTTTGAGCGCTATCATCCTCTTCTTTTTGGGTCGCTAAGAACCGCGATGTTTTTAGATGTTTCGGTTATTTTGGGTGCACTATTTTGCTGGCAATTTTCTTTTTATTTGCACAATGCGATCAAGCCCAGTCTGTTAGCGTTCCGTTAACGTTTTGCGTACTCTTCGGTTTGGAGAGGAGGAGCTTAATGAAATGAGTTGACAATACCGGGCTCTGAGAAACTACTGTTGTTGTCGTTGTTGAAGTCACAGTTGTAAGCTGTAAGTCATTGTACTGGTCGTAAAGGTCGGGGGACGGGCACTCCACGCCATACTTTGCAATTTGCTGCTTGAGCATAATATCAAAGGTAGGCAGAGCGTGCTCTCTCCGCGTTCGTTTGCAAATTTACGGGTGCGCGTATAGAGAAGTACGCGAATGAAGAGAGTCGATTTTCGTCATGTTGTTGTTGCTGCCGAGAGCGATTTTGGCAAATTTTTTCTTTATTGCTTACACAGACTGCTTGATAACTCTCTTGATACAAGAGACGCCTTCCACGCTTTTACCATTATTTCTCTATCTCTATATCTCTGTCTCTCTCTCACACACTCCCGATAACTAGCTACCTTTGACTGGTTGAGTGCGATTAGTATAATTCACTACATTCACTGTCACTACACGGAACAACACAAGTACACCTATTTCTGTTTTTACACGGTTTTAAAATAACACGGTTTGAAAACCAAAAATTTTAAATTTTTGTACACGGTCTTATTCCATTCAACACACATAAAACACACATAGCTCACAAGCAGCTAGAAACCAAACGAAAACAAGAAATAACATAAAGAGAATATGTATGTACATATTTGCTTCTCTTGTTTGCATACATACAAGCAAATTTACTAGTCAGAGCAATCCGACGTCTTTGGCAAAGACATTTTTTATACGAAAATTTGTTTTTCTAAGTTTCCCAATTTGTTCCCTAATTTTTTTTTAATGGACGTTGACATGCAATGACTGCATCTTACCAGAGTCGATGCAATTACTGCACCGTCAAGTGGCCCGAGTGACACCAGCAGAAGGCTGTTACGCTCGGATCCCAGGCAAAACGCAGCCCGTCTCCCGTCCAACCGACCGAGGGGCGCTGCCGCATTACGCGAGGTGCGTAGCCGAACCAAACGCGAACATGCAGGAAAGATAGTTGTAAGACTAATATTCGAGGAAAATTAGCACTACACTAACAAGAAACTTAAACATGCATTCAAAATACATTTACGAATACCACTACAATTACTAATTACTAGAATGGTGAGTGAGGATTAGTAATTAAATAAAAGGAAGAGAATTAGTGGTGGATATAAAATGGTAGAGAAATTATAATCCGAGCATAGGACCCTAAACGGTTCATGCAAGGAATAATTCGATCTACAAAGTGGAAAGAACAACGGTATAACATTTCTAGTAAGTTTAATAGGAATCGTGAAGTTTATGCGGCCCAACAGATCAGGGCTATCTATGTCCCCCTGATCAATTTGTGCACAAAAATCACACCAAGCATTTTCTTACGGTTAACGAATAATGGGAATAATGGGAGGTTTACTTATAGTAGTCTACTAGAGTAAGATGGGAGTATCACACCCGCATCCCAGTTAAGGCCCCTCAGAGGAAAGAGTAAAACTTTTTTCTTTACTGATTCTATACTGTCCGGGTGTACTTTGTACTGTTGGCACCATATACAGGAGCCGTATTCTGAGATCGGACGAACTAGCGAGGTATACACAGTCTTTGTTATATAGGGGTCGTCAAATTCCTTTGACCACCTCTTTATAAACCCAAGCACGCCCATGGCCTTATTTACCATAGTAGAAATGTGTTCAGAAAAGTTTAGCTTGGCGTCTAATATAACACCAAGATCATCCACTAGAGTAATTCTCTCAAGAGAACCACCACATAGGGTAAATAGAGCC